TGTACATCTGGGTCATTGAGCAGTAACCTCTTTTCTTCTGAGGTGACCAGATTAACCTTAAAACAAAGAAAATATAATAACCCCACAATCATACTTAATTGTTTCATGTTAGCCATGACGAAATTATATAAGTTGGCACAAATTATTTCTTATCATTTATAAGTAAGAAAGAAGTCACAAAGGGTCTCACAATGATAACCTGAACGCTTGAAAATTACGATGTGTAAACTAATGTTTATTTAATGTCACCTAAAATTTCCATACTAATTTAAAATGAAAGAATGTAAAGAAAAACTTCACCGAAAGGGTATACTGATAGATAATATTGATTTTTACATTTTCAAAGGAACCACAGCCCAACCAAATCCCTAGTTTTATTCTCATCAATAATGAAAATAATATTTAAACTTAAAAAGTATATTTGCAACATGCCCAGGAGGGGTACTCAGAAATAGACCCATGCTCTACCTTAAGCTTATGTGCTCATTTAAAAACACGTGTTGTTTATGGGTGTGACATGTCTTCAAGCGGACTGTTATCTTCTAAGATAGTCTTAGCAATACTAGCCAACTTGTCGGTCTAGAACAAGCAAGGTATATCCGTGTTTCATAAACATGTTTTAGTTCCTATTGTGCATGTCATATATGCATATTTATCAAGGATTGCAACATATAATTTCCTGTTAAAATATGCTGTGTATTAGACCGACACGCTGCATGGGATTTGTGAATGTGCTTACTAAGGTAAACAATGATCTTAATAATGCCTTCCATCTTTCATATGAATAAAATTGTTTTCAAGCAGTACATTTACATAAAAACTGGAAATGAGATACATGTCAAAACATAATTGATTTTCAAGGACTGGCACAAAACAGTTCCATGGAAATAGCTGCATAGAACAAAATAGGTACCGATGAACTTTTTTAATGTTATTCTAAACAGCCGACTAGTATTTCAAAATGGCTTTTACTAATGAATTGCGTAAAGAATGCTATATTTCCTTTTTTCAAGATTCCTTCAATATTTTGTTCAATTCTAGGTTTGAGGATGATTAAACTTCATAAAACCTTATCATTCATGATTAAACAGGGGAACTCCACACTAAAATTGACGACAAAAGGGACTATTTTTCGTTCCCTATTGTTAATGTTCCTTTTTTGGATGCTGATGTTCCTTTGGCAACATCTTACGGTGTTTATATTTCATAACTCGTTCGCTATGCCCATCTCTGTTGTGACGTTTTAGATTTTAAAGAACGCAATCTATGTATTACTGGTAAATTATTAAGTCAGGGATTTCGTTACCACAAATTACTTAAAACCTTTACATAACTCTTCCATAGATATAAAGCCCCCGTCACACTAGACCACGATCGCACCACGCTCACCGCGATCTAAAATAAATTCAGTGTGTGGTATGGTCGCGGTATGAGCGGCATGAAAATGTAAATTTTCTATCTGTTCACGATGCTACTACGTCCTCATTACGCTTCTACAGCAATCCCGCTACTATTATAACACGTTCTCACCACGCGTATTCTGCGACCTCACTACGATTATCACGATCTTACTACGCTCATCACGTTCTCACTACGACCATACCACGATTTGTCCGATTACAACATGATCTTACCTCGCTTCTACTGCGATTATAGCACGCTCTTAACACGATCATACTACGATCATACCACGTTCATACCGCGATTTTATAATAATTACTTGTAGTCAGCATCAACCAAGGCAAGGAGTACCAGTGAAAAACAAACCTTGTAATTGTGGTAAAGGGATCCAGTTTAAGGCGGGCATCTAATAGCAACATGTTTGCCATCTAATGCACCACACGCATGTGGAACGTTCCATCTCTTCTGAAATACGTCTGCAATAGCCCTCCAATCATTTGGGTCAGTTGGACATGAAATCACTTCATCTTTATATTCTTCAACTATTGCTCGGCAAACCTCGGGTAAAAATGTGCTTAACCCCGCCACATTCTGTTTAGCGTCGCGTACGATGTTGGTGTTAATTTTGATAACGTTAATTTGACGTTATTTTTCATGCATTGTATAAATAACGTCGTACTTCTTTCATTTCGTGTAGATAAAATAATGTTTAAAGTATTGTGCCATTGTGGTTTTGTGGTGTTGTGCCATTGTGGTTGTTTGTATTGCTAAGCAACTTTTCAACAACAAAAAATTTAGGCCAAGAAAGAAATATATATTATTTGTTGTCAATATATAATATCTCAAAGAAACACATTTCTGATTATTTTAGTTTGATATTTTGCATATGAACAAGTAAATGGATACAGTTATTCATTTTAATTAGATTAGATAAAAATCTGTTGAGAAATTGTTTCCAAAAAAAAAATTTTCAAAATCATGGTTTTGCATAAAATATGTAGGGAAACATATGCGACGTTATGCACTAAATTGTAAAGTTATACAGAACGTAATGTCAAAACGAGTCAAGAAGCAAGGTGTGACATTATGACTAGACAAAAGTAGTCGCTGACTGTGTCGTTAATATTTTCGACATATAGTCGAAAATGGATTTAAATAAATCAATGGAATGTATATTTTAATGTTATATCGTATTTTTGTGCTATAATTTTAAAATTGTTTTCATTCAAAAACTGTTTTATATGACTTATCATAGTTTTAACCAAATCGTAGTAAAACTGCGTTTTGTGACATTTTGACTAGACAAAAACAAAAAGATAGTGTTTATTTTCTTTTAATATTTTCCCTTGAAACTTCTACATATTTTTTTCCATACACTTAAAAAACATCTTTTCACGTTTAAATAAAATTTCAGATCGTAAAAAAGACCGCAAATGCCTATTGTTATTCATTAGACACTTAACAAATACCCCAAAAACGTCAAAAACGGCAAGTGTAACATTTCAACGGATTTAATAAAATAAACAATATAGGACATAATTCAAAGAATATCTACTAATGGAATACATAGACAGTTTTATATTTATTATATAATTTTGAAGCAGAAAGAGTGGATATGTAGATTGTGATTTGTGTCTGCAGCATTAGTTCGAATTTTGAAAGAGATTTGTGTTTTGTGACAGAAATAAAAATTTAAAATAATCGTAAATTCTGTGACGATCTTTTGAAATATTGTAACAAAATTTTTAATTTTGTTTCCTTGTCATAAACGGAGTAATTTGTATGTTATTTTTTGGAATAATCTATTTGAAATTTGTTTTAATATTACTCTCACCTTCTCCCCTATCCATATTGTTTTTTACTTTTTCGACTTGTCCGCAAAACAAAGTGAACTTTCCGTCCTGGTCAGACGCGTCCAGTTAACGATGACGTCATATGTAAAACATACATCATTAACACCAAAGACTGTTCTTTCTAGGAATACCTCTTTTTAAAACAAAAAGTTTAAACAAAGACGAGAATAGTATTAAAACAACGATGGTCATATGTTGTTGTGTCACTTGTCCACACGCGCAAAATCAATATTATTAGGAATCATTCGAGTTACAAAATGAAAAAAAGTATTGATTTTAAGGCATGTTCCATTTCTACTTTTAATTACGCACATTTAATATATACATTTATATAGTTATGAATTCCGAATCTTCAGTCAAATACAATAGAGGCGAACTGGAAAGCAAAATCCTTTTTATCACCAACACCGTACGCGACGTTTATGTATTTGCCTGTTCCAAGTCAGGAGCCTGTAATTTAGTGGTTGCTGTTTGTTGCTGTGTTACATATTTGTTTTTCGTTCATTTTTTTGTACATTAATTAGGCTGTTAGTCTCGGTTAAATTGTTTTACATTTGTCATTGTATGGCCTTTTATAGCTGACTATGCGGTATGGGCTTTGTTCATTGTTGAAGGCCATTTAGGGACCTATAGTTGTTAATTTCTGTGTCAATTGGTCTCTTGTGAATAGTTGTCTCAATTGCAATCATACCACATCTTCTTTTTTATAATAAAACGTTGAAGGGAAATCAGAAGGTGAAGTTACGTCGGCTTTTGGTATGTATTCATGATTCATAGGATGCAATGACCTGAAGCCAAATTTATATCAAAAACAAAAATCATAATCCGTAATTTTTTTTTTATTATTTCTATGGGCACTAAAGCAGTTTTCAATCAATTAATCATTTTTGAAAAATTACACCAGCCAAGACTTTGATCAAGTGGTTTTTCATAAGAATGCTTGGCAAAAAATATAAGATAACACGGGCTTTATTGTTGATAGATTAACATAAAGTGGACAAAATCACATGCAATTTGAGAATGAAACCATAAGAAATCATATATAAGAATATAAGCTGATTTGAACCAGACAAACGCCATGGACGCTGGTGATTTTTAACGTATTATCTGACATGTCACATACCCTGTAATACTAAACATTATTCTGACTCCAATACAACCATTTTTCGTTCTAAATCATCAATGGCGATTGATTGGTGGAAAATTAACAATTACAAATTTAAAAACCGATTGGTTTTATCCGTTCGGGGATCAAACTCACCTATGACCTTGAACATGATCTTTTATGAATATGAATGAAGACAGCTTAAAAGCCGATGAATAATTAAATAGACAGTCCTTACTATTTTTTTTGTTCACATGTAATCTCAATATGACATAGATGTTAAATCATCTCGAATTGCGCACAAATAGTCCTATGGGTTACTGGAGGAACTAGAAAGGCACAGACAAACTGTATATATGTTGTTTATGTAAATTTAGAAATAACATATTTCCAATATTTCTTATCATATAACTCAACTGTTTGATTATTCAAAGTTGAATATACTTCAACTGTGTAAAAACAATTAAGAGTGGTAATAAAAACAGTCAGCATGATTTGTTTTTTACTATTGTTGGTGAGTGTTTTTCTTGAAAATGAATGAGACAAGGTTTGTCGTTTCTTGCTGTCAATTCATGATTCAAAGGATTCCATAAACTGAAGTCAAAAAATTAAACAAACTCATAACCTTTTGTATTTTCTTTTTATAACTTGGAACAAACTACACATGTTAGTGGATAATTGTTTATGTACGGAGGACATTTCAGAGATCCACATTTCGTAAGAACTTCATAGAACAATTTACCAAGATGTTGATCCACACCTCCAATAATATATTCTGGATTTATATCAACGCATACGTAAGCTGATGCAGCGACATGACTATAAAGTCCTGAAGCCAAATATCCATGGTATTCCTCCTTCCAACCACTGTAACACGTGTTCTTACCAGGAATCATTATAACAGATGTAGCACGTTCTGTTCTACAGAGAGCACAAGGAACGTCTTCATCGTTAGCATTGGAGGCAAAAAAGTTTGAGTCAAATTCTGCACCGAACATACGGCCATACTCTAATCCACTGGTCTTTACATAATTTGGATCTGGTGGTAAGCATACATATTCTGCAGCTGCGCCTTTATCAGTATAGTGACCTCCACCTGCAAAGCCTGTTATAGGAATGTAACATCAATATTAAGAAATAATGCATTTATATTTTTAAAATAATGTACATAATTTTTCTTGAAATAACGAATATGAAATATTGGTGAAATAATTTATATAGCGAATAAAGAAAAATATGTATTTTATTCTTGAAATAATCGTGACGGGGATATTCTGTTGATGCAAAAAATACGAGGGAAGGTTCTAATTGAATTATGTAAAATACGCATTTGCACTCTACATGCTCTAATTTTGCATATTTTAATATAAAAATTCAAAAATAAGTGAAAAGAGACGGACAATACCAAGGGAGAATCAAAACTTCGACTTATGATTAAGTACGCTGGACGACAGTTTCGTCTACCCATTAGTCATCAGTGGCGCTCGAATCATGACAGTTGGGCAAGTGTATCATACCCCCAAGCAACCATTGGAGTCTATCAGCCAGAACAAGAATTCAAACTACTTGGATTGTAAAACAAGCAAAGGACTGAATATACTGAGCAAATGATCTTAAATCGAACTTTGAAGAAATACAGACATATTTTCGTCAAAAAGAAAAACGACTTAACGACAAATAAAAATCTTCCTAACACCTCACATACATTTAAAGTCACATACATATTTATTAAAAGGTTAAATCCTAACTATCCTACTGCATGTCGATACTTTTATTTTGGCATTGCACAAGTCATGTCTTCTTTGACTGTACATGGCGTTAAAACATTAAATCGCTGGGATGCGTTTTAAATGATTTTAGTCTCTGATGCATGATTTTTTTATTATTGATTGTTTTTGGCTTTTAACTAGCTTTCAGTAACTGCGAGTACTCTCAGATCGTACTTTCATGTTAATTTGACCTGTTGACACAATTTGTAATGCATTTTTGTTATTCAATGTTTACTTATTTTGTGTTATATCTCCCAAAAAGCATACGCATTTAGTTTTGTTTGTACCACCTTTGATAAGTATTAAGTGTTACGATAAATTTTCACTTCTGTACTATGAAAAACAAATTTATTTATTTTGTAAAATATATTTCCGTACTCCTAACATTGAAATTATTATATTTAAATTTACCTGTGTACGTTATGTTATTTAACGTCATTTTGTCCCAGGTTGGAGTTGTCTTTTGGACATTGTTTAACATCCCCTTTTTTATTAGTATTGTATTTATATTGTGTCATAGATCAAATTTATTCGTTCAGTGTATGTTTACTTGTTTTTGTTTTTGTTTTTCAATTGATATTTTCTATGTCGTAATGTTACACTACTGTTTCAGATTAGGGTGAAGGTTGGCGTCTGTTAAAAGTTTTAACCCGCTGCATTTGTTTGCACCTGTCTTATGTCAGGAGTTTGTTGTTCAGTGGTTGTCGTTTGTTGATGTGGTTCATACGTCTTTCTCGTTTCTCGTTTTTTATATAGATTAAACCGTTGGTTTTCCTGTTTGAATTCTTTTACACTGGTCATTTTGAGGCCCTTTATAGCTTGCTATTCGGTGTGAGCCAAGGCTCCGTGTTGAAGGCCGTACTTTGACCTATAATTGTTTACTTTTTACATATTATGACTTGGGTTGAGAGTTGTCTCATTGGCACTCATACCACATCTTCTTACTTCTATGTTTAACACGCACTCATCGCTGCGAAATGTCAACCAGCAGAAGCATGGTCCCAGTGGTTGTACAAATCAGGGCCTGTTCAAAAATTTCCGGTATACAAAAACAAATCTATTTTTTATAAAGGAGATTTCCCCAATTGCCCTTAAAATGTTTTCAACAGAGAGTTCGAGAACGTGCAGGATTTGAAACTTATTTCGTATTAGCCCTCACTAAAAACGATACTGCCCCTTCACACTAGTGGCGTTTACAACAGTTAATCGGTTGAACCATATATTATTGGGGTCAAAACGTAACATTTGATTTGAAATGGTAAAATTTAGACTTAAAAGCGAGACATATGTTGTATCTGTCAGAATGACATGACAGTGATTTCATTATTATTTGCAATCTTACAGTAACTAGGTTCTTAACAAATGTTCGTCAAATATTTACTACATAAAAAGAATAAAAGTCATCACTTAAAGTAGTGTAATGTACAACAGGCCATATCCAACCTCCACTTCCTTCAATAAATAGGCGTACAGTCAAATACAAACTGTAACCATCAACCCATAATCAAGAAAACTTGACTTGGCACGGGATATGCATAAACAATTCCAAATAGTTTCAGGTCAGGTTGAAAATATTACAAGTAATTTGTAGAATTTTACATCAAAACAAGATACTTGCATGAGAGATATAAACTTGAATTTTAAGGATATCAAGTGCTAAAAAATGCATCAACTAGTATCGACATATAAAGGATCATAAACGTATCTTGTGAAAATACTTTTCTAAGTTGAAAACACAATATTAATAAAAACACCTCAGGAATAAGACTGGCAACTACAAGTATCTAAACCGTGTAATCTATCAGATTAACTTCTTTAATATTTACCGGAATATACCAATTCTGTATTATTATTTGGACACTGCTTTCGTCCCCATCTTATATAAGTTGTTCCGAGACCTGAAATTAAAAAAAATATTTCAGATAGACCACTGACAAATATGTTGATTGATAGATTGTTAAAACATGAAACGCAAAACAATGATATGATAAATACAATGCATATGATAAAAAGGCTTTGCTAGTCTTTATGACACAATGGTTTCAATCATTGTTTTATAGATGAACTGAGCAAGACTGCCTATGGTGTGTTCTATCTTCAAAACATATCAGCCAGATCGATAAGTCACGCTCACACAAATTGACAAAATCTGTTGTTATCAGTGATCAAATTTTACTAGGTCATTTATGATTACCACAGGAAAACTACAAAACAAATCGCTAACTCTATTTTGTTTAGTTTATCCATTTTATTCAACTCAAATTATATCAATACGAGGGTAAAAATGATCTATAGCATAAAATAAATTTTTAAACACATAACAAATTAAATCAAGTTCCCCATGTCTTCAGTTCCATAGACTGTTTGATAAAAGAGCTTAAATATTCATTTGTTGGCTAGAGGTTTGATTTGAAATATATATTTCATTTTATTGTCAGGAAAATCTTTATGTTGGGTTTTAAATCATTTAATAGAACTTGTTTAATTCATTATTCATTCTACAAAACAAAAAGAAATGGGATTCAATATCCAGAACTTTGCACTTGTAACATAGAATCTTTTGGATCGGGATATTCTGATATCGTCCAGTTTAAAACGAATGGTCACTATTATTAAAGTTGCATATATCTTAGAAGTTTTCTCGTATAACTATTAGTGTATGCCAAATAATACTCTTGTTTACATCCAAGTTTTCTTGATTTTATAACAGGAGTTAAGCATTTTTATCAAGGGATGAAACTTTATTATCATATACTACTTTCTATCTTTACCCTATGCCATTGTATAGTATTTTTACCAAGATTCTTACAGCCTCATTATTTTTAAGGTCTGCTTATATCATAATTGGACCTAACATGATTCACATATAAGTATCATGACTATTACCTCGATAATGAGGGGACTTTGAAAGCGAATGTGACTATGTAGCAATCAAACAGTAAAGTCTAAAGAGGATACGTTCCAAACTCTGATCTGGAGAAAATTTTACATTTCTTTCTTCAACATGAAATTTTGGTACAAAAATGGTTCCGTATTGGTATGGTTAGCTATATATATATATAGATACATGTACCTTCCCTGTTATATCAATAGTCAATGAGCAAGGATGAAGAGTTTTGCAATATGGCTTCTCAAAACCGTTAATTAAATTAGATCTTTGTCGGTATCTGTATTCCTCGGAGCATCCCCATGAATAGATGTTTCTTCTACCCACTTAGTAATGTGAAAAAACACCACTGACTGAAAACAAAATCACCCAAAAGTATTCATAAAAAATACATAGCAACTATATAAAGTCTTTTATTAAAAGTTGCATTGACGTTTAACATTGGACTACATTAGAGTTTGAAATAATTGATGGGTTATATATTTTAAGATGCCTCAAAATCTTTTATAGAGACTGAACTATCAACAGCACGCACATAAATACACAGTATGGGTACTTTTAGTCTACAGGATCAATTAATTGAGACAAATAATCATTTTGAAACGAATGAAGCTAATTTATCCTTATTAAGTTCGAAGATGGACTACAGAATTTGTTCATAGAAAACTAGCTTTACGGGATTTGTAAGAGTGCTTATATAGACATATGCATGTATGACTTTCTTTAAACAGTAATCTTTACAATACAGTTGAGTTGCAGATAGAGGGAAAATGAAAAAGTTAATGTCAGATGGCAATATCTTTCGATTGCCCTTGGGCTATTTATAGAGCTGAGTCAACTTTTAATATAAGACGTAAGGCTAATGTAGATTTTAACATTATAAATATGACAGTTTCGTGTATACTTGATAAAAACCATCTCTGTATTTCATTTCGTTTTTAGGTCTAATTTCAAAAACATGCGCATGACATTATCACTCAACTCAAACTTCAACAGGTACACTGAAAATCAGGTAGAATTTTAGTGTGACCATAAGGACGTACCGATTGGTTATTACATTAATTGTAGCAGATTAAGACAGAGATATTTATCAATCAGATTTGGGTTGCATTTTCACCGCATATGTTTCATCAACATATTGTAACTAGTGACAACACGACTGTTGTGAAATGACGTTGTGTGCTTTTTTCTTTTTTACTTATAGATTTTGTTTGCATCCTTTGTATGTTCTCTGATTTATGAAAAAAGTCTTACTTGGAATGGTGTTAAATGACTTTTGCAACTGTTTGATTGTCTGTTCCTGTTGTTGATTTATAGCCTTTTGTTGTTGGATTGTTGTCTGCTGTTGTTGGATTAATGCCTGTTGTTGTTGAATTGATGTCTGATGTTGTTGAATTGATGTGTTTTGTTGTTTAATCACGCCTGTTGCTGAAGGGTTGATGTCTGTTGTTGCTGAGTGATTTGTTCCAGCTGCTGATTTGTTAACGCCTGTTGTTGGTTTTTAGTAGTTAGCTGTCTCACCGTTGCATTCAGTATCGCAACAATATTTTCCACTTGGTTCAGTCGATTAACCAATACATCTGGATCATTAAGTAATAACCTCTTTTCTGCTGTGGCGACCAGATTGACCTTAAAACAAAGAAAATATATTAACCACACAATCATACTTGAACGTCCCTTGTGTGCTATGAAGACACGATTTGACACAAATTATTTCTTATCATTTTAGTGTTCGATAATGTCACATAGATAAAGAGTATCAACAAGTTTACATGCATATGCCAACCGGTGCATTTGAAAATAACAATCTGGATATGACTATTTCTAAAAGACATCTTCCTTTCGACATACTTTGAAAAATTCCATAATTGTGTAAACGTCTGAAATTTTTGTAGGCAAACTTTGTTTTTTTTCAGTTTGTACAATAGAAGTTTAACATTCTATACAATAATTGTTTTCTCTTAAACATGTTAAAGAGACTATAAATCTTTCAAAATCGAGGTTGTAGAGTAGAAACGAGATAAACGCTTTATGCGGCGAATAAGATAACCACTGTGTTCAGCAGAGAAGAATTAAATATGTGTATAACAAAACAAAGGTCAACAATTTATGAAAATAAAAACAAAAACCCTCTCACTAGAAAATAGAAATAAACTCCGAGCAACAACGCCCTACACAATAGAAAAGATATACACATAAAACTTGCAGTATTGAGGTGTTAGCTTTAGTTCTAATTTGAAGGCCTCAAATTTCTGTGTCATTTGGTCTCTTGTAGAGAGTTGTATCATTGGCAATCAGACCACATCTTTTTATTTTTATAATCAGTATGACAAAAGTATACCAATGCCGTTTCTATACTTTGGGTTTTACTGAGTGCATGAATTTCGGGATACTAATTCCTACCCCATGTCCCATTTTTTCGTTAAACACAAAAGAAGGGCAGACGATACTTTTCTGAACCATACATGACAATTGTAACTCTTTTCAAAGCTGAATTGTAGTCGTTACTTTAATCTACCATGACCTGATTACAATTTCTGAATGTTCTTCGTCATTTTAATGTGGACGCTTTTACTTTTTATTATTTTATTTACTGAATAGAAAAAATAAGGTAACAACTGTCTCAGACACATTTGAAATGAGACAATTTTGGCTGGTCTGCTAAATACCTCTTCTGTTTTGTCTCAATGGTTTTATTTTTCTTCCCAATTTTGTTTTTTTAAGAATTTATTTTTGGAATTACAAACCGCAAGAAGGTTCAGAACCAACAAAAGAAGTTTATATAAAGATCTGGATGGGGTCCTTCATTTCTGTATTTTTTAATTATTTTGGTCATTTTTTCTCGATTCTTTTTATTTTTTGCCCTTTATTCTCTATTCTTTATATTTAAGCACCTCGTTTTTCACGGTTCTTTATTTTGTTACCCTATTTGTCTGTATTCTTTTTTTTTGTCGATTTTCTGTACATTTGGCCCATTATTCTCTATTCTGTGTTTTGTAGAATGTTGTTTGTCTTTTCATACAAAATCATTAGAAAAATCTAAATCATTAGAAAATCAAAATCATTAGAAAAATCAAAATCATTAGAAAAATCAAAATCATTAGTCTGTAATAGACACGAGATAAACTCGATGCAATAAAACATGCACACTGAAATGAAAGAAAAAAAAATAAACAATATGTACAACAATAAAAAAGATAAAAATCTAAATTGTGAGTTATCGTTCCTTGTAGAAGGCTTCACAAATATTTTTGAATTACGATTTGATTCATTGATTGTTATTAGCTAAATGTCCAAAAGCGGATATTTCATGCATGTTTCAGGACAAGAACAAATTAAAAATAAACACAATAGGTAGGTCTTGTAATAGAGGCCGTCCGGGATGAAGGTCGGGGAAAATTCGACTGCACTGAAAAATGAGATAGGGAGAGAAATTTGGCCTTGTAACAGGCCACCTACGGACCCCTTAAAAGAGTTGTTGCAAGGGTTCTTAACGTGCAGAGAGCAGCCTTTGGGATAAAACTAATCTGTACTTGCTTATGGTTTTACGAAGTATGTGTAAAGATTGTTTGTCATAAATATGATGTATTAATACAGCGTATCACTTCTTTCAATTTATTACAACAGAAGAGCGGGAAATTTCTTAACAATTCAATCATTTCATGATAATTGTTACTCTATGTATAATTTAATTGAAATAGTGAACCTCCACTCTTATATATTGTTGTTATATATTTATTTAAGTTTTAATAGTCCTTGAGCGTTTGAGAATCGTCTTTAATACTGAGGTGTGTTTAAACATACCATTTTTCCTTTGTTCTTACTATATACCTCAACCATTTATTCGATATACTTCTAGGTGTCATATTTCAATATTAGTCATATGTCGACTCTCTATTCATACGAATCCTTCACCATTCACTGGAGCACAAAAAAGTATATATAAGAACACCTGAAACAATAATTGGTATCTTTTATTGTATTACTTAGAACACAGGTCAATGGATAATTGTTAATGTACGGTGGAAATTTCAGAGATCCACATTTAGTAAGAACACCAAAGAAAAGTTTACCGTAATGAAAATCCACACCTCCCATAATATATTCTGGGTTTATGTCATCGCAAAATTAAGCAGAAGCAACAGTATGACCATGATATCCCGATGCCAAGTATCCATGATATTCCAACTTCCATCCACTGTAAAAAGCTGTAAAAACACAATGAGATACACATAAGTCTGGATGGGGTTAACAGAATAGAGGATAATGCAGAAAAACATTCAGTTTCAGAATAGAGAAATGTGTGCAATAAAAAGATTAGAGTATTATGTAAGACGTTCAAATATAAAGGCTGGAGAATAATTTTCAAAAAGAAATCAAAAGAACAGAAATGAAGTCCCAGAATCTATACCCTCATTGATAACACCGTATTAACCAAACTATTCAAATTGAGGACGATTTAACCATAACAACCGTCTCTAAATATTTAAGTCTTGAAATGGGAAATTCAAAATACTGTTTTAAAATAAGCATAAAGAAGAATAACAGGACAAACATCATACAACTAGTCGCTAGAAATCTTTAATGATAAATTGTCTCCACAGCTGTATTGGTAGAATATAATGCAAGAGTCATCTTTGTAAACATAATTTTGAATTTATTTGGCTGTGATTCAAACGGATATGATTACTTTCTCACCTGAGTAGACTAATTCTGTGTTGTTATTTGGACACTGCTTTCTTCCCCATCGAATATGCGTTGTTCCGAATCCTGGAATATATATATTGTTATAGCTTATCTTCAAATATTGAAAGTACATTTGAGGCTACATGGCACCAGTTTTAAATGCGTTTTATGCAAACGGCACAAAACCACTGCAAAAAATAAAAATAAATTGCCGAAAATTTGAATACATGGAGATAATAAAAAAAATTGATTGTATGGAATGCTGGTAGCAGCTGCTATGCTTTATTAAGATTTGTTCTAAGGTAGATCGGGTGTCTTTTTCTCAGCAACCTTTTTGGGAATATTTCAAAAATGCTTTTTGGTTTAAATATTTTACCAAGTATCATTCAATATACAATAGAAACATCTTAAACTTGAAATTTAAAGATTAAACTATCAAAACATGTAGTGTTGTTATGTGCATTTTAAGTTTTCAGAAAAAAATCCTTTAAGATTATAGGCAGATAATTATATTGATTTTGATAGAACAATTTTATTATATTTTGTTTAAGAAAATAAGGCCCGTTACCCCCTATTTTTATTTGATGTTTCGGAAGTATTTAAAAAAGAGATTCCCCATTGAATTTTAAACCATTATATAGTTTAATGTTTCTTTGTGATAAGGAAAAATTAAGTGTCCCCTATATAACCCATTTAAGTTAACTGGGATTTGTCAATTAAGGTCCGTGACCCCAAGTTTTTATATTGAAATTAAAAAGTAAATTGTTCCGGAAGTATCTTACAGAAGTTTAATAAAAATGTATTGTCAAACATTTAGACACCTCAGCTACCTTAAGGATGTTCGCTTCTCTTGTTCTTCACTTTTTGACAGATATGACTAGTCAGCCATGTAGTGCCAACAAAAATTTTGACTGCTAACCCCTACTTTTCTGTTCATAGTTTTATTATATGTAGTTTAAATAGCCATTTTTTTAAATCTTAAAAAATCCTTTTATTTTTTCATTGTTTTTGAAAGAAAAAAGATGCCAATGTTAAATAATTTAAAATCTAGAGAGAATCATTTCCCTCCAAATTTTTAATTGATTATATCTCAAAAACAAAGACGGACCTGTCACTTTTTTTCTTTTTTTTTTAAGTTCCTTTATTTATAGACTATCAATTTATAACAGTCTTTTAAAAAGCTTTTATATTCAAACAGAGTAGCAAACATCCTTAATCGTAATTTAAAACGGATGATTTACAATTACTATTTTCTTTTATTCTATTAGCTTTTTAAACTGGTTCTTACCAGTTTGAAAATATAGATTCCACTACTGCATCGAGGCTGAGATGTTATTTTGCTTATCGAGACAGTTATCTTATAAATTATAACAATACATGCACCAGCTCGTTCTTAATCATTTTAATTTAACTGTCTAGAGTGGAGAAATATCGTATCGACCTTCCGGACTATTCCACCCAGAATGTTTGCATAATCTAGAAGGAATGTTGTTTAGAATTCTGACCAGGAATGAGTGCATATTCTAGCCAAAGTGTAGTAGAAAAGTTTTGAAAGAAATAATATTTTGATTTTTTTATGGAATATCAGCAGGGATAATTTTACACGAAAATAAGATTCCTTTAAGAATACCAGCCAGGTATTGTTCATAATTTCTACAAGGAAAATGTTTTTTCTAGCAGGAATCTAAAATAAAAATATACAAATTAAAGTGTTTACATATATAAACACAACTAGGTTAATCCTTACTTTAAATTTCAAACAAAAAAAAAAACCGATTGAAATACATAAAATAATTCGTAAAGTCATCATAGGTACCAGGCTAAAACTTTTGTACGCCAGACGACTGTTTCGTCGACAAAAGGCTCATCAGTGACGCTCCAATCTATAAAAGTTAAAAAGGCCAAATAACGTACGAAGTTGAAGAGCATTAAGAACTCAACATTTCGAAAGATTTTACCAAATACAGCTAGGGTAATCTATTTCTTCGATAGAAAATCCTTAATATTTCGAAAAACTCAAAGTTTTGTAAACAGTTGATTTGGAATTATGACCATAACAATGGTAATGCATGTCAACACAGATGTGCTGACTACTAGGCTGGTGGTACCGTTGGGGAGGAAACCTCAACCAGCAGTGGTATCGACCAAGCGTTTGTAAATAAACTCATCATAGATACCAGGCTTAAAATTGTGTACGCCAGACACGCGGTTTGTCTACAAAAGACTCATCAGTGATGCTCGAATAAAAAAAAATTTAAAAGCCAAAAAGAGTACGAAGTCGAAGATATTTCAGAACCCTAAATTCCGGAAAGTTTTGCTAAATATAGCTAATGTAATCTATTCCTAGGGTAGAAAATTCTTATCTTTATGAAAAAGTCAAACATTTAGTTGATGATTATGACCATATTAATGACAAGTCATTAAATTCTTGCTTCAAAATTTTACTATTAAATTTGACGAGGAAGTTGCAACATTTGCAGAAAAAAGTAAAATAACAAAAATACCGAACTCAAAAGGAAATTCAAAACGGAAGGTCCTTTATAAAATGGCAAAATCAAAAGCTCAAACACGTCTAACCAATGGAAAACAACTGATATATTCCTGACTTGGTAAGGCATTTAATTATAGCTAGCTAAACCTCTCACTTGTATGACAGTTGCATAGAGTTCCATTATATTGACAACAATGTGTGAGCAAAACAAACAGACATAATAGGTAAAAACCTCAAAAATTGGGTTACAGTAGTCAACATTGTAATATAATCTTAATCACTATAACAACAAATAACTATTTCAACAAAGAAACTCAAAATGGCATATAGACAAAGTATAAGACCAAAATTGAGAGACAAGTACTTAAAATTGACCATAGCACAATAACACTAAGGCGGGATGTATAAGTACCGATCCACGTCATAAGTATATAATCAAAAATTGATAAACAGTAAAGATAAAAATATACAAGGACAAAAAAGGGAACTTTAACACGTAATTAAGATGATAAGAACGTCAGTACCTAGAATCTAACTCCAGCATACGGATCACTTGTTCCTCTGTGTGGCATGTTTTACCTTTTTGTTCACTACTAACAAAATATGCCGTATGGTATCCCAAAGCAATAAATTTATAGCGTATGCGGCCATTTTTATATTAAAAAGCATTGTCGATTATTCCTTTTAGACGATTTTTCAATTTCACATGGGGAATGGTGGTATACAGGGTTGAAGAATCAAAAGTTTTGATACAATTAATTCTAGAGAAAGATGACATTTAAAATTATCAAGAAGTTCTTTAGAGTTTTTATAGAATCCACAATATGTTTATACCACTACGCGAGTAAATAGTTTCACAGTATTTCTGATGACCTTCTTTCACTGCGGACCGAATTTTTGTCAATTGTGGGTATATATGTAGATCAGCAAAACTCATAATAAATACCAAGATACCAGGATTAAAGCTGTGTACGCAAGATGCACGTTTTGTCTACAAAAGACTTATCAGTTACGCTCGAATAAAAACCGTTAAAAAGGCCAAATAAAATACGAAGTTGAAGAGCATTGAAGACCAAATACCTCAAAAGTTTTTGCAAAATACAGCTAAGGTAATCTATTCCTGTTGAAATAATTGTCTCATTGGCACTCATACCAAATCTTCTTATATCTAATTACTATAAATATCAGGCAATTTAAAAAAAAAACATCACCTTTAAATGTATACAAATAACTTTCAGTCTACATGATCCATCTCTTCCTGCATTTCAATATTTGCTATTCATAAGACCCATGCAATGTTGTGTTAAGACCGCAGAATATTTTGCCCACCAAATTTTTTGACTTATAACTTGGTTGCTAATATATTACAGCAAATTAATGTTATTTGAAACAGAAATCCAGTTTAAGATAATTAAATACATATCAATATCAGTCAAGACAATAATCCTGCTACAGTAAGAACGATTCCTGGTAGAAAAATTAAAAGGAAGATTTTCTTATAAGAATAATTTCTGGTAGGAATAATTTAATTCTGTTCACCCATACTAGGAAATTGTAAATTGAAAATGAAAATTTCAACTGTAAAAACTAAAAGTTTCCTTGTAAGTCTAAGTAGTAGCAAGAAAGTTAGATTGTATGATCATTCTATGCAGATTCCAACTATAATGTAGTAAAAATCATGCTACATAT